CCCGCTCCAAGCAGCCCGCCCGCCCGCCGGGCGGAACCCTTCCCGCTCCTCGGCCGGAAGACGCTCCCGCCTGCAAACTTTGCCTTTGCAAAGTTTAAGCCTGGAAGCCCCGGAAAAAAAAGGGGGATCGGCGGGGACTCACCTTCGGAGAGGTCGCACTCGAAGGTGATTTCGAACTCCCAGCCGAGGCCTTTGCAAAGTTCTTCTTTTCTTTCCTACCCCGAGAGCGCTCCGCACTGTTTTGCAGCTTTGGGGGCCACGCGGCGCAGGGCAATATGCCACGCCCAGCGATTTTTTTTCAGGGCCGGGCCGGATTGGACAGACCAACGGGCCGGATGTGGCCCGCGGGCCGTAGTTTGCCCACCCCTGAGCTAGGAGAACAGAATCTTGCCTGTCTGCTTGTGCTGGTCCCCCTTCCGTAGAAGGGTTGAGCTGCTTCTACAAGTTTTCTCTCATTCTGGGCTTTAAAATGCTCCAGCCCCTTTTGCCTCTTCCTCACTCACTTTACCTGCTCCCTTCTCCACTGGATATTGGCCTGCAAGCTGCTTCCAGACATTGATGGGTTGGTCAGCAGGCACTGAACGGCTCTGCTCGTCCCCAAGAATCCTGAATAATGAAAGCAAAGCAGTGAGAGCCGGCCAGCCCACTGTCGTCTCCCCCCACCCCCCAGAGCACACACGGGTATTTGTGGCTACTGGGCTGGATTCTGAGCTCCCCTCTTTCTTTGCAGTTCCATGGCTCTGTCCTGGGGAGGCCCTGCCACAGCATCTCTGCGTTGCGTCCTGCAGAACCACCCAACCAGTCTACATCCATCCTGCCCTGGGATTTCCAGTGCATGCTGGTGACGGCCATTTTGTCCACTGTGCTGGTGGTGGCCCTGGTGGTCCACTCCTTCTTCTTTCCCTTGCACAGTTTGGCCACGTTAGGGAATGTGCCATTGTTCCCACATGTGGATCACGGGTGCAGCGACTCATGCAGGTATCGGCTCTGCTTGTGATTTGCTTGGCCCCTGGGCTCAGGTAGAGAGATGTCACGTCATGGCCAGTTGTAAATGCTCCTTCTCTATCAGAAAATCTGGCGGCTTTGCTTAAACGTGAAGAAGACTATTCAGTTCTGCTGGTGGTCCTTCCAGGAAAAAGGGGCCAGGCAAGGGGCCTGGGAGGGGGATTG